ATTTTGCTCTCTGCACTCCGGTAAAGGGTAGGGACCGAAACTATCGATTTTGTCGATAAAAAATGTATGGCGACACATATCATTCTGATTCATTGGAATCAATGTCTGGTAGGGCCCAAAAGATAAGGAGACATGTAAAGTGCCCCATAAGGGCTACCTTTTTCTTTTTTTATTATTTTCTATTGACGTTCATATGTGCCACTTATGGTCTAAACTGAATAAATATTTTTGATTTTGATTTTTTTGATTTTTGAACAAAAGTTGCATTAGGGGCTTTCGGACTGAACTGTAGGGGCATCAAATAATATCTATAGGTTTATCGGTTTTAGGTATTTGTTGTGGCCCATTTCTTTACTCCAGTTTCAGCCTCTGTGGTCTAGTGATAATGATTTGGTCTCTCGATCCTGAGGTCATGTGTCAGAATCTCAGGCTCAGCACACAAATTCAAAAATTTACTCTCAGTACTTACTAATTGTCTACTTTATTATACAAAAAACAGTATTTATTTATTTACTTAGTTGTTAACTAAAAACTTAAACAGCAAGTTTGAATAATTTCATGCACGCGCGTTAGTCGCATTTGCAACGCACTACAGAAGTGTTGCCAACGCGCTACTAACGCGCTACAGCTTGGCTACAGCAGCGCGACTGCATCGCTACAAAAAGTCGCCGTGGGCGAGGGCCCTATGGCTCAAAATCAATTGAGGAAACTGGTCGCATATTGATAAGTTTCGCAACTCTAGGAGTTTATCGACGGGTTAAAGTCGACGATTGTCTTTGTATCCCCTCGGTAGAACATTGACTTTACGTTACGGGAGCCAAACCGTAACCCGACCGTTATGGAACTATTAACCCCCGAGCGTTTAGAGTGAATTATAATTATTATAAAGTTAAGACCCGATAATCGAGGGGTTAAATATGCATATTTAATTTTATACTAGGTTTTGGGTTTAATAATAAGTTAATCGTTTTGTTCATAAACATCATAATTAAGTACGTATTACTTCATCACTTCCTAAATAAATCTTTAGGTAATTACGACCTAATCCGTACAAGTAAAGTACTCAACCTCATGAAATGTCGAAGCTTAACTATTACTAACATAAAAACTATAGAAACACTTTGCCTCTATCCTAAATAAATAAATAAATCTGCTCCATTTAGGATAGATTAGATCAAAAAAATAAATCACAGATCCAATTTACACAGTAATCACAGTAATCAATACGAACAACAGTGATTTTCCGATACATAAACCTAGACGCAGACCACCCATTTTTAGTTAGCCATATAGTCGAGCCCGATTCTAATTTGTATGAAGAATCGGTCGATACCAAATCGGTGTAATATGCGCACTTTTATACATCTCCATACTGATTATTAACAGTCCGACCCAACTAAAAGTCGGTGGTCTGCGTCTAGGCTAAGTATCTTTTACTAATCGATAACGAGTTTTTCTTCTTAAGGTAGTAAACAAACCGTAATTGGATAAATAAAATGACATCAGTAAGCGAGATATTACCTAAGGATTAATATGCGTGTGAAAGGTCATTTGCTTTAAATCGCACTGTGATATAATCCGATACTGATCGCTGTACTGTAGTGTGCTTGAGAATCGTAAGACTAATATAGGGTGTAAGGATTGATACATTATTGGCAACAATCGAGCAGTTACTGATCTGATCTGATCACTGATCGTTTTAAGATAGATTCTCCCTGTTTATTCATTTATTTTTGGGAAGCATACAGTTAGCAGTAGTAGTAGTGCATACAGTATTAATTAAATTCATAAAACTCATCGAGAAGGTAAGAAATTAATTCTACATTTTGTTTTATTAATTATTATGCTTCGTCTATTTATTTTTTAAGAAATGATTTACACATGGGTTGAAAACACTTGAGCAAAATAAAGGAATATTATTAATTTTCCAAGAAGAAAGTTACGCAGATTGTAAACTAAAAGGTCCCTTATAACTGTTTAAATTCTTGCCCTTGCCTTTATACATATTGAAATATCTTTTCTTTTAAGTTTTTAACGGTGTCTCTTATATAAATTAACACCTTGTATGCTCTTTAAGGTCAAAGGGCAAGTGAGTGGTCGATGATACAGATCCAGATCCAAAAAACCGGTCGCACAGTAATGCCCTTCCATTTCTGCAGAAGCCATCGACTTTTATGGGGTTCTGTGTCATTGCAAAAGCGATCATTAGAGGATCACGTGTCACAATAAAATCGAAAGGATGGAGAACTTTTAATTGGTTGAATGCGACGAAGTATTAATGATCCAAGATTTTCATGCTTATTTTTTGTACTGTTTCTTTTTTATTATTTTTCAGTCTTGGGATAAGTTTATTGAGGTTATAAAACTCTATTTTATATTTTGACAAAGTGAGGCACATTTTATTTCCACTTTAGTAGAGTGAATGGATGATCAGGTACGAATGACAACATATTAATCTAAACACTGGGGCATCTTATTAAATAGCATCTATTTTACGACAACAATTTTTATTCTGAGGTGCTGTGGACCTCTTTGTGGTTTGTGAGGACTAGGCTGTGAACATCTTTCACCAGTATTGTCTATTTTATTTATGACGATCTGTCCACCGACACCCGACTATAGTAGACTGTAAATATGACACAGATTTTATTGTGCTATTTAAATTGATGATGTTGAAAGTATCTCATGATCAACTCAATATTTAATACTAACATTCCAAGGCTTAAAAACTCTTCAGATTCTTTAAAATTGCGACCTTAAGATGTGCCAGATTAGGCATTGTCATTATTGTAGATTGACAAAATTTTAATTCAACACTTAAATAGCACAATAAATCTTATTATCAAAGTGTTAAGACTTAAATTCTGACAGGTCCATTTCAAGATTTTGATAGTATGTGAGCGGCTCGGTAAAGCACGTTTGCGTAAAACTTACGTCACTATAGTTAGAACATATATCTGCGCAAGAGTGACCCGACCCATGACCTTAGGGATGTGGCGATTACATTTCTTTTATCGATAGTTAAAATCAAAGTCGTGCTTTTCGATATGGTAACGTAACGGAGTCTTAGTGCAAACCTGTGGTTATTTTGTTTCGTTCAGATAAATTATCATTACAGCTCACACTAATATACATTTTTCAAAAGTAAAGTCGATTAACTTTGACGCCGTACAAACTTTAGGTTTCCAAATGGATAGACACTACAGGATGTTAGGTAAATGGGTATATGAGCCGACACTATCCCATGTTAACATGGTCATAAAAATGGTATAGTTAAGTCAGAAATTTGATATCATCATTTTATTTTTTTAATTTTCATACAAAATACTTTTTACAATATCCGATTTGTATGGAAATTAAAATAATTAAAATGAAGATATCAATTTTCTGACATCACCATACCATTTATATGCCCAAGTTAACATGGGCTAGTGTCGGCTCAGATACCCATTTACCTAACACCCTGTATACGATAAATATCTTGGATAGCAAAATATAATTCAATGCCTTTAACGGGACTATTCCCCCTCTCGTTCCCACCACTGCAACTCCTGTGTAGCCAGGATCTACAGCTTGACCGCCACAAAAACCCAACCAATGAAGGTCAAGTTGAAAGCTCCCGGGGGAAAGTTAAACTGTCATTGGACCCGCAACGAAATTAGTCAGAAGAACATAGGAGGAGTTCGAAATGAAGGTTCGTTCGGTTCGAATTCAATGCCTTTATCAAAAGGCCCTGAACAGATTGCCTTACCATAATAATGAATCAGCGTTATTAGTATACATTTAACTCAATTACAAAGTTGCCCTAACATTATCGGCGCGTACTATACTTGTACACATACCTAGTTGATTAATTAGAGGCTTAAATTACAAACAGCAATTATAATATTCGCGCTTTCAATAATTCGTAGCTAAACACTAAATAGGCCGCTGTACTTAAATAGCTACAGCTAATTACATAGATGTAATTACTCTTGTAACTTACTATTAATTTATTACGCGATTCGTAATTATTCCGGCGGATCCCCTTTGAATGTTGATTAATGAGTAGGTTGCTAGCACTAGAGGAACAATATAGCATTAAATAAAGTGCCTACGTAGCTACGAGTACCTACTTTGTGTAGTGTAATTAAAATTGTAGAATAGATAGAGCAGTCTTTATCGATGTAGAACTACACTGTTATAATACATATACCAATTACCTATACTTACAAAAATAATGTCTGTTGACTTGTGTAACGTCTTCATGCATTGAATGAATTCATAGATTGAACCTTGGGAAATAACGTTAAGCTTCCTTCTTTCGCAAAAAAGGTGAAGTTATAAAAAAGAAATAATATAACCATTTGTGTGGAAAACAACACATTTAATATTTGTAGTAGAGATATGAAAATACATCTTTAGACTTTTTGTTATGTGGTTTGGCAAAGTGAGTCAGTGGAGCGTAAAGCTAAATATTGGATTAAAAAAATAAGTACAGCCATCGAAAATATCTCGATATCGATATTGTCCTCAGCACATCACTAATCATTGCGTATGGTAGCGATACTACGCATCGCTACGGCTAGCCCACCCGAGTGGTGCAACCTAATCTCCACCGGGTCCCGATCATGTTTTAATGATAATATAATCATTATTTTGCAACTATGTTTACTGTCATCATTACTTTGATTGGTCTCCTATAATAGCATGAAGTGACCTCAGGGTAGGGATCATGTATTGTGTCAAACTTTGTATGTGATTGTAACTCCTCTATTGAACATGAAAGCACTAATGTCAAGTCTGATAAGTACACGCCCGTCTTCACAAACATTACTATGAGGTATCACAGTGCGCGTGGACGCACAGGGTGACACACGAACCAATCATAGAGCTCTATTCAACGCTTTATCTCTTGTCTTGTCCACATTAAAAGGTATCTAAATGTATTATAAATAATGTTTTGTTTTTATATTGAATGTTCATCTACATCTTGTCTGAACAAAAGCTATTGTCCGCAGGAGCACGGAGATCACAGCCCGAGGGCAGGTCGAGCAGAGCCCGCTGTATGTACAGAAAGAGTTTGAGGTAATTAAACAATGATGCACTGAATTATCTTCCAACACACTGTATCCTTCGACCACCCTTATCACGTCATTACAGTTTACGTTATTCTTTAGAAAAAGCATAATCGGGAACTCATGATTTCCATGACGTATAATAAGTAGGAATTTACTACTTTTTATTGCTAACATCTCCTGCAGAGACAAAAGGTGAATTTCACCTACACTCTCCACGATGGCACAGACGGGAAACGTCATAAGTTAGAAAACAGAGAAGATTTCGTTATTTCCACAAAACCCCACTCAGCTTCGGTTCGGAAATCTGATTGGTTATTCAAATACGAGTACATTTCCTCTCACCTCCGCTTTGGTGGAAACCTAACCTAACTATAGCAAAAATATACAAATAGCATTCCCTTTACAGACTGAAGAAGCATTCGGAGACGAGTGGGAGGTCAGCAGGTCTCGGGTGCACTTGGGCGCCTTGATCGGCAGCGGTGCCTTCGGCCGGGTGCACGCAGCACAGCTGGACATGCCTGGAGGAGAGACCATCACTGTTGCTGCTAAGATGCTGACAGGTTTGCACTCAGTTGTTCTGGGTTTGTTTATCACCAGGACCTCACGAGTAGTCGTAGTAACTGGATTGCACTGCTCGAGTTGGCGCACTCCTAGCACACAATGAGGGTTTTCGCGTATGAAAAATCCGCCAGATGGCAATACGTAGACGCGTGGTCCAAATGCTGCATGATTGGTTATTTTTGTCATGACATTGACAGATATATCAAAATCCACCAATCACGCAGCAGTCAGACCCCACATCCACGTCCCGCCATCTAGCCGATATTTATACGCGAAAACCCTCATTAGGCGAAGTTTTGAGAAGAAGTGATGTACTATTTATCAACGTTAGTAGCCCGATGCGAAGTACCGTCTTGTGGTGTCAAGTCCCAGAAGGAGGAGAATTGATAATGAGAAGGGTCAAGGAACAGAAAAATTGCAGGGAGAGAAGCAAAAGCTCCCGGGGAAAAGAGCCTCGAGTAGTACCCGCGCGCTCTGTCGAGATTCAGTTTGTACGCCGCGAGGAAGGAAGAACTATGGGTGGCGGAGGGATTTGTTCTGGATTTGTACATGGTCAGAACTTGTTAGGAGATGAGTGGGAGGTCAGCAGGTCTCGGGTACACTTGGGCGCCCTGATCGGCAGCGGTGCCTTCGGCCGGGTGCACGCAGCACAGCTGGACATGCCTGGAGGAGAGACCATCACTGTTGCTGCTAAAATGCTGACAGGTTTGCACTCAACTGTTCTGGGTTTGTTTATCACCAGGACCTCACGAGTAGTCGTAGTAACTGGATTGCACTGCTCGAGTTGGCGCACTCCTAGTACACAATTAGGCGAAGTTTTAAGAAGAAGAGATGTACTATTACGTTAGCAGCCCGATGCGAAGTACCGTCTTGTGGTGTCAAGTCCCAGAAGGGGGAGAATTGACAATGAGAAGGGACAAGGAACAGAAAAAAAATGTAGGGAGCGAAGCAAAAGCTAACGGGGAAAAGAGCCTCGAGCAGTACCCGCGCTCTCTCTCGAGATTCAGTTTGTACGCCGCGAGGAAGGAAGAACTATGGGTGGCGGAGGGTTTTTTTCTGGATTTGCACATGGTCAGAACTTGTTAGTTACACCTGGGCGCCCTGATCGGCAGCGGTGCCTTCGGCCGGGTGCACGCAGCACAGCTGGACATGCCTGGAGGAGAGACCATCACTGTTGCTGCTAAAATGCTGACAGGTATCCACGATTCGACCTTCATAAGAGAAAATGCACTTAAAGGGCAGCTATAACGACTTTAGTCGCATCTGTTTTAGCAACTAGTTTATATTTATGTAGACATGCCAGGGGGAGAGGCAGGTAACGGTCTGACATTGGCTAGGGAAAATGTGCAGTAGACCTCTACTATTTCCTATGAAGCGTAACAATAGTAGTACGATCGAGAGGGCTCCGTCTTACGTTTCACCACGTATCGTCTGCTGATAAGAAAAAACTTAACAGCAACCTGCAGTTGTACGTAAACGTTCTGTAATTTACTATGTGTTTTTTAGGAATAGGCCCCCTTTTGTTCCTCAAATGCCCAAAGATGGACCTGAGAAAATACACTTGTAGTTGCATCTGAGTTAAAAATAGATTTGTATTATGTAGGTATGCTATGTTAAAGGCCCTAAGAACCCTCTTTCAATAGGTACTAACCTACTTACTCTAAAATTTGTAAGTGGCATCAATAAAATCTTCCTGTAAAACTAATAATACTAGTCACAAGTGAGATCAAAGTTAACCGTATTGTATAACTCAATTCACAGTTCAATTTGATTAAAACTTGGAACTCTCGAGCAATATTCTCACCAGTACACAGGTGTTACATTGTAAAACATACTGTAATACTTACAGAAGCTGTAAAATATGTCTTAATGAGATGTCTTAAGTCAAGAAGCGACATGATAACCCAAATAGTTTTTGCGACATTTACGCCCGTATTCACAAACATCACTATGAGGTCTCACAGTGCGCGTGAACGCACAGGGTGACACACGAACCAATCACAGAGCTATATTCAATGCTGTGCGTTCGATTTGCTGCTTCACTTAAGCAAGCATCGTTTGTGAATACGCGCGTTAAGTTTTAGACTCATTATTTATGATAGCCATAAACGTACGCCATGGGAATTCATGTAGGAGAAAATTATTGTCTTCACTTGATATACTCGTATCTAACGCAATTTTAATCTTCGTAAACATTAAACGCATTAAAATTTATGTGTTTTAAATAACTTATAAGGTTACACAACCAACTTAATTTAAGTTACGTGGTTACGGTAGTTTCTGAGCTAGATAGTTTATATGATAACGAGGCGACAATAGTTGAAAGGTTTCGGTTTCGAGCCGCCGATCGGAGAGTCGCTGGTTCGATCCCCATTGAGGCTGAACTACTGTAGTCTACACTAGGTACTATGCTGGTGAACCCACTCCTAGCACGAGCTTTAATTTTTAAAGGAATATCAGTAATTTGTTAATCACAATTAAATACCAATGATTATTATTTTGTCGACTCAATCAAATTCCGTCCACTGCTGTACAAATCGCATCCCCTAAGTATTTAAACAGACGAACGAAACGAAACGAAACGCTTTTTATATTTTTCTTACGGCTATGCGGCCCGAGCCCGACACGTAGAGCGCGTTTTTCCTACGCTTTTCAACAAAACACAGACTTTTGTTATTTTTAAATAATATACCTAGTACAAACTTTATTTTACTAAAAACATGTTTATTAAAAGTTAAACACTCCTCAGACAAACCAGCTTTACATTGATTATTCCAAACATAAACTTTTAATAACATCAATCTACGAAGTTAGAGGTACGCTTATTTCATTTTCAAGGGTTCAATTGCTGTTTCCAAACTTTTAATTAGGTAGCTATAGGGGTGATTTGTGTTAAGCATAACCCCCCTTATTTTTTGAGAGATTTAATTAAACCGCTCAGAAACATGTATAGAAATCTAATTAATGTGAACTTTTCAAAGCAATTTGACTTTCAATATTTGTTTTGGTATGTAAAAGGTTGTTAAGATGAAAATTATTATTACATAATGAATACATTACCTACACAGAACGAAACTAAAACTTAAATCAATTTCAATGCATTGGGGCTTTGCGATTAATTGAGTTTCAATCTAAACCAATCACAAGCACAAAATTATAGGTAGGTACGTAGGTACGAATCACAGAATAGATTCGATTACTGAAATTGAATCGAGTTTTAAACGTTCTTTGTTAAGTATGAACCAAAAGCACCGGGGGAGTTACAGATGCTTTGGTTGCCAGACTTTAAGGTATCTTACGATTACTTCTTGAAAGATTGTAGCTCGTATCAGTCCGGAAATACCGCAAACGACAGTCCATTCCAAAGTTTGGTTGTGTGGGGCAGGAAGTTTCTAGAGCAGGGTTTCCCAAACTATGGGTCGCGACCCAGTGGTGGGTCGAGAGCGAGCATTGTTGAGTGGACCATGCCTGCCTGTAAAACGACACACCAGCCTACCCATCCAACCTTTGGGAACCACTGTTCTAGAGAAACGCACAGCTGTGGACATTACAGGTAGACTCTAGATTTTTCATTACGACTTATGAGTTCATGTTTCAATGGTCTAACTAATGTAAACCACCGCGACAGTCTGATGGAGTCAGAACAGCAGATTCAGCCCAAAATTCTGACTCTAGTTTAATTGTCACACAATAGCTGAAATATACATTAACTTACGAATAAATCTTTCACAGAAAACGTATCAGAAGAAGAAATGCAGGACTTTCTTCGAGAAATCGTCATGCTCAAGCACGTCGGCTCCCACAAGCACGTCATCAGACTGATCGCTTGCTGCACCAGGAGAGCACCCCTCATAGGTGAGTGTATATGACCTTTAAGGCCTGTAGTTTTACGACCTTATTAAGAAACAGCCTTCTGGCAGTTACCTTCTCCTACTGGTTAACCCTTATAAAACGACGCTGAAAATTTTACTCAAACTATAAAGTCAAAGTATATTATTATGCTATATTCAAGGCTGGGATTGGTTGAATTTCACTACATAGACCAATTAATTATAGGCGAGGTCTGTTCTTGGGTAACACTTTATAATATGGGGCTTTACGCCTTACATACAAAGATACAAGGATATAAGATTGAAATTAGTGACACTGAAACGCTTCTGACCAGAATAAAGAATAGGTATGACTCTACATTTCTACCTAGGACTGTAGCTGTGACTGGGTACTATTAGTAAAAATTAAATATCAAAGAATTGTGCCATTAAGGCTTAAGGCATTTCTATCAAGATTGTATTCTGTTAACTTTCCAGCTCTCCTGATTTTCCATAACTAACTAACTCCGTAGACTTGTAGTCCTTTAAATAATGTGTTGTACCTCTATAGCTCTCCTGGAGCACGCACCCAGGGGAGACCTGCTCACTCTGCTCAGGGCTGCCAGAGGACGGCGGAGGGACCAGGGGTCCAGTGTCACTCGCCGAGTGGGCAGCGACACCCATGGCAGACCGTCGGAGGCTGACAGTAAGTTGTAACACGTATTTTTATAAATATAAAAGCTCTTTTTCAATGAGCTCCAAAGCACGCACCCAGGGGAGACCTGCTCACTTTGCTCAGAGCTGCCAGAGGGCGGCGGAGGACCAGGGATCCAGTGTCACTCGGAGAGTGGGCAGCGACACCCATGGCAGACCGTCGGAGGCTGACAGTAACACGTATTTTTATAAATATAAAGCTCTTTTTCAATGAGCTCCTAGAGCACGCACCCAGGGGAGACCTGCTCACTCTGCTCAGGGCTGCCAGAGGGCGACGGAGGGACCAGGGGTCCAGTGTCACTCGCCGAGTGGGCAGCGACACCCATGGCAGGCCGTCGGAGGCTGACAGTAAGTTGAGAAACGTATTTTTATCCACAACGAGGAAGCTCTTGGTCTGCCCCGATGGAAAGTAATGATCAGGTCGAAGGTGGAAGCGAGTTTCTCCCGGTATCCTCCATAGAGAAACTACTACCCACAGATATCTCCTTATCTGTGTGGCCACCTTACCTCTGCCAGAACACAATAATTTTTAAAACATTTAAAAGTAAAGGTTCCCTTTTGCCTTTTTGATTACAGAACCCTAAATACCCACGCTTTGTCAAAGTAACTTTCACATTGAAATAACAAAAACTTTTCAATCATTTTATAACAAAAAATAATAACGGTTTGATATTTCTAGCTAGAGTTTTAGTTATTTATTCCTTTTGTTTATAAAATTGTACTAATGGCAGACCTACCAGTCAACGTAATGTAACTGTACAACATCGACGTTATGAAGCACATTATTTTGGCATCGTAACCATGTTCAAACTTAACATCTCCTGAACTTTTTCACGCGGCAATGTTGCTTTCCAGCGGAATACACGAATCTTGGTGATTCGGATCCGGCGCTCTCAGATGGGAAGTTGTACGTTGAGGAGGAAACTTTGAAGAGCAGAGACCACTACGTGGCCGAACCTGCCCTGCAGCTGGACTGCAGTACCATGAGAGAATATGCACTGCAAGTCGCGCTCGGCATGAGGCATTTGGAAGAGCGAGGAATCACGCACAGGTTGGTAAAAAATCATTAATTTTTATTGCTCAAATAAATATTCATATTAATGCTAAATATACTTGTTTTACGAGTGGGTTCAGCACAATAGTCCAGTGGGATGAACCAGAGCGGTCCTTGGATCTCTAGTCGCCGACTCTACAATTCGACATCTTCCCCGTTCGGCTATTGTCATGCACTGTCGCAAAGATGTATTTCTTTATAACTGTTGTGTTTCAATCCTGATGAGCACTATTTCTAAACTATTAATTGTGTCATTCACCTATCTCTCCCACCCAGGTTAACTAATTTCTCATAGTTGTTAAGTAGCGAGCGAGGGTTTCCATGGGTTTTCCATGACCTACAAGGCTACAAGGTCAAAGTTGGCAAGTTGAAAGTTCCTGGACACTTTCCCATTGTTCTAACCTGTTTCGGTAAATTCTAAACGTTCTGTAGGCCTAGGATGAACTTGCCATGATAAACTTTTATCGAAGCATTTTATAGATGTTATGCGATAAGCCCATACATTTATCGTCTAAAATCATCGAAAAGATTTTATCACGTCACGCATCCTAACCCGGCTGGTATCTCTCTGTGTTGTAATTCGAAAACCATAATGTTTTCAAGTGTGTTAAATTCTCTTTACACGTTTGTGGTGATTTATAAATAGCAACCCTTCCGGACTGGAACGGGTAACACTAATTAATTTACAGATGATTTTCGCAGCGAAAGCTCTTTTAAGCTTTTCAAACAAAATGTTCATTAATGACCCCATAACCTACCTCGAAATATGCTCTTATATTTCTTGGTATAAAAATCCGTACATACAGTAAGTAGTTTTTTTTATCCACAACGAGAAAGGTCTTGGTTTGCATCTCACCTGATGGAAAGTATTGACCAGGCCGAAGATCGAAGCGAGCTTTACTCGGAATCCTCAACCACAGAGGAACTGGCTATCTTACCTCCAACTGTCGGAACACAACAATGCTGTCAGTAGCATGGTTGGTGGTAGGACTTGTTCTAAGTCCCGTGGCTAGTGGAAGCCAGAACCGAACAGAACATGTCTCTACTGGGAATCGAACCCGGGACCTCTGGGTCTGAAGCAGGTGGATTAGACCACAGAGGAGTTTCTGAGATTACCCCGCACAAACACAAACTCAGCGTGCATAAGCCCTATGATGAATTAAGCAAATAATTATGTTGTTTAAAATTAATGTTGTAATTATTAACTTGGTTATTTAAGTAGGGATGAGCTTAGCTTTCTAATTTAAATAATTTAGCAGTTGCGGCTGTTCATTGTACTGTTGACAGCATCATTAATAATTTAAAATAAGTAAATTTTAAAAATTGCACCTTTTACTTACAACAATATTAGCATGAAGTTAGCTTAGGTTGACTAAGAAATTAAGAATCCTAAATAGGTAATTTTAATTATTTTATTAGGTAGACCTACGAAATACGGACATCGCAACATCGTTGCTATTTTAGCTCAACAAAATTTTGTTTTAGTAATTTTAGTTAGTTAGAAATCAGCTAGAATTTAAGTTAAAAGTGATAGATATCAATATTTATATCCAAATTGTGCTTATATTTTGTTTATTTAATACAAACTAACAACCTAAAACAATTCTATAATTTGTTTCCAAAATTGGCTGGACATAATGCCTTGCGGTCAACCCCCGAGAGACTCAAAGACAGTTACAATGCCGTCCGTAAAATGAGCGGACCTTTGATTTCTATAGAGACTTCAGTTATAAACGTAGACAGAAAATCCTATAGATTTGACAACAACAAATAAAGATGTAGGTACCGCTGACGGGTTAGATCTCACTGTTAGCACAAAATAGGACTGTTAGTGACCGAGTTTCTTGCGCTGCTTCTTCTCAGCACTGGCCCATTTATTGTCCCGAAGCAGTAGTAGGGTTAATCCTGGGACGTGTAAAAGTGCTTTTTAAAAGCCTACTTGCAAAAATTAAATGAATTTTTTTACATCTTTCGACGACGTGTTGTTTTTAAACATGAAATAGCTAATTCCACAAAAAGGACCATAGTTTATTTGTAAAGTTCACAATGTATTCGTCATTAAAACCATTGTTATTAAATCACAATAAGTGTATTTGTAGAGGTTTTATTCTAAAAAATAAACGACCATACTTATACAATACAACTAATAAAAATAATGTTCAGATGTTAATTACTCGTGCTGAAACTTGTATCTTGTATTTCCTATCCAAAGTCTTTATTTGACTCTATAATATACTCGTAATTTAGAGTAATTTATTATAATGTCTAAAAAATCCTGTGTATGGGACATAATAAATAACTAATAACCCCGGGGCGAAAGACAGTTCCAGACGTTTATCTTCTAAGTGAACAATTTGTTAGACGAATTTGACAATATCAGAAGTACCATTTGACCCAGTAGTGTGAGACTTAAAAGCAGTTACAGGTTTGATTCCCGACTAAGATCAATTCGAGAGACGGCCTCTTTTAATTGGTTTGAGGACCTGTGTGAAATAGGTTTCCCACTATCAAGAACCTTTGTTTGTCACCTGTCATCCGCTTTGCAGTGGAGGGAAGTCGAACCTTAATTTCGAACTCCTCCTATGTTCTTCTGATTAATTTCGTTGCGGGTCCAATGACAGTTTAACTTACCCACCCCGGGAAAAACTTGACCTTCATTGGTTGGGTTTTTATGGCGGTCAAGCTGTAGATCCTGGCTACACAAGTGGTGGGAACGAGAGGTAGGAATAGTCCCGTTATCAAGACCATAGTTATCTACTTAAGTATATGACTCTATAATATACGACCAACATGCGAAAGTAGGTACAAAGCAACCAACAAAGCGTTTCCCTGTACCCCTTCAACATTTATTTTCGGGACAAAAGGTATATAAGGGAGAGTCCGCTAATTTGGACCAGTTTTTTTCAATCCCATTTTACACATAGTTTTCTTTTGTTTTTGCTAATGTCCATGGTATACAGGGTGTTGATTTCAATACCCGCCATATTTAGGGAGTTGATTAAGTAGCTTATTCTGATCACGAATCAGCAAAAAAACTGACTTCAATTTTTTTTNCGTTGCGCGTGCGCACAAAGGAATGAGACCGCTCGGACACCGAGCCCACAGCGTGGTAGGGGTGGGGTTGCCCGCTCTTTTGTTTTTTAATACTACTACGCTGAATATTGTGTGCGGATTGGGTTGTCGTACAGGGGTACTACATGGTAAAATAAATCTCGGAGGCGAAAGCAGGATAATATACCTTAAAGTTTGTTGTTAGGAGACTTCTTTGGGAACAAAATGAATAGTTTAGGTAGCAACGAAAGTTACTTCAAAACTTAACACAAGCGTCAAGACAAGAGTGATACGCTAAATTGGTCTACAGTTGACAGCACATCAGACTTCACATTAGTAGCAAAATAACACCTATCACAAGTACATAAAGGTACAGCCTTTAGCTTGATAGTTGATAGTCCCGTATTTCGTACTTTTACCGATATCTTTCAGTAGTTTGTTACATAACCGCTAAAAGAAAATTAATTTTAAAACATCCCAAAAGTTAAAGTGGTGTTAGAGGTGATTTTAAAAGGTGTAAAATTTCCTTCCAACCGTTTTTCCATCGAAAAAGGAAGAAATGGAAGGAGATATCCTCCATCCGATTATTTTCTCAAACCATTCGAAATTTCTTTAGGCAATATTAATAGATTTTAACAGGAAACAATAACGTTAGGAATCCAAAAGAAAAATATTATGTAAAAGACACTAACACGTAGTAATAATATACTTACTTATCCCTCTTTCTAACGACGGGACGTGTTAAGTCCCTGAAAGGGTTCTACGTATACCTACTAATTTTTCATGTTTGCCATTATCATCCATTGTGCAAGCAATGTATCATCATTGCCTCTCTTATAAGTATTACATGACTTTTTCCTTCATTATTGTGTCAAATTCTACTACATATTTTATTAACTTTTTCCTTCATTAATGTGTCAAATTCTACTGATAATAGAGCCACAAAATCAATCTAAGTTAGTAAAATACGGCTTTATAATACTCTGCACTCTCGTGACAAATAGACGCGTGCGTACGACATCACTAATCAACATTTGAAATCAAAAGTACCACTGACGAATCGACTTTGTGTCTAATTAACAATCCTTTAAATGTTAAAAGGGAGCCTTTTATCTAATTCAAATATTATTTATTCCAGAGACCTCGCAGCCCGCAACATCCTCGTGGACGGTGCAGGAGTGCTAAAGGTGGCAGACTTCGGGCTCTCCAGGTCTGGGGTCTACGTCCACACGCGGTCCAGGCCGGTCCCGCTGCGGTGGCTGGCCCCAGAGGCCATCCTGCACTCTCAGTACTGCAGCGCCAGCGATGTCTGGGCCTTCGCTGTTTTATTGTGGGAGATCGCTACATTAGGTAAGAATGCCTTGCTATAAGGCAGGCTTCGGACTCTCCAGGCCTGGGGTCTACAAAACACGGTCACGCTTTAATTTTATTATTATATTTTAACACCGATTATACCTTTCTTTGATAAAACTATACCGGCAGCGCCACCTAACGGACCGTTCGCAAACTCGCGTAATGAAGGCCTCTCGAATGAAACTTTTACTAGGCGCTCATGAAAACGTTTACATGACGGTGCAGATAAGTGTGTGTTGCATCTTATAAAGAATACTGACCGCCTCGAGTTGATACGGTTACGATCCCTTTGCGGGTTGATAAATGCTACGTCCTTTAAGACAAATATTATTATTTTCAGGTGGCTTCCCCTACGCAGAGTTAAGCAATCACCAAGTCCCGCCGTTCCTAGCAGGCGGCGGGCGCTTACCCAAGCCTGCCCGAGCCTCCCCCCGCCTCTACGACTTGATGGTAGAATGCTGGGCCGAAGACCCCTTCGACAGACCCTCATTCGCCAGCATAGTCGAAAAACTGTCCATCCAAAAGCAACTGTACGTAGACCTCGACTCCTTGCTAGCATCAGAAGATATGGACACATTCGATGATTACGAATTCAGCGAATGTGAACGGTGAAAAGACTGAATATTTATATTGTTGTTACCCCATCGATTTTTCACATTAAATGTTTTATGATTAATGTTGTTTCTTTAACGTTTTTTATTTAACCCTTTGGATATCGTTCATTGTCTTTAACTACGGTTACCTATTTTATTTTATTGTGTTTGATAGGACATCCAACAAGGCATACACTAAATTAATCTTTACAACGTTTTCGAACTTAATCCTAAGTGCTGCCTTATTATAGGTTGCCGCGGCACCATAAGACTTTATAAGGCACAGGATACATAAAGTCACCAAAATGTAAACCTTAAAATTGAATGGTCGAGAAGCAATGATATTTTATAACATGATAGCTGTGCCCGCGACTTCGTACGCGTGAAAACCCGTTTTTGCAACATTTTTCATTGTTACTCTGCTCCTATTGATCGTAGCGTGATGTTGTATAGCCTATAGCCTTCCTCGATAAATGGGCTATCTAACACTGAAAGAATTTTTCAAATCGGACCAGTAGTTCCGGAGATTTGCGCGTTCAAGTAAACAAACGCTGAGTGGGGTCCCATTGCGATAGGCATCGCTGTGCGACAGGGTGGCACTGCTTAGTTTACTTGCTCTTTCATTGTATGTTTTATGTCACCTCTGTCTTATTTGCTTTTTTTTTATTTTACCTCTTTTGTCTTTTGTGATGTCCATAGCAATAAATGTTTCTTTCTTTCAAACAAACAAACAAACTCTTCAGCTTTATAATATTAGTGTAGATATTGTGCTCCTTATGAACTCCAAAGGCTTAATGATGGATTTGTTGAAATTTAAATTTGCTTTTGAAAGTTCATAATTTGTATTAGGCTGGAAATTGCTGAAGACATGAACTTTGGGATGCTTGTTTTTGTTTGAGTGTTGTTTGCAAATCAGGAAAAGTTTTCGACTGAGATGGTGAATGATCACAGAACAATCTAAATTACTTGGCGCTACATTATTATATTGTCTTATATTTGAATAAACGTTAGCACTAAATTGCAAAGTAAAGTAATTTAAATAATAAAGGTACACGTACCTACACGGAACAGAAGTTGAGATTGTAGAGGAGACACAAAATTAATCGATAGTAAATCTGGAATTACTGGAAAAGTATTTTTATCTATACTAATATTATAAAGCTGAAGAGTTTGTTTGTTTATTTAAACGCGCTAATCTCCGGAACTACTGGTCCGATTTGAAAAATTATTTCAGTGTTAGATAGCTCATTTATTTAAAAAGGCAAATACAACATCACGCTAAGGTCAATAGGAGCAGAGCTACAATGAAAAATGTTGCGAAAACGGGTTTTCACGCGTACGAAGTCGCGGGCACAGCTAGTGTGGGGATAAAACTACACCATAAGCCATAGGATCTTATCCTTTTATTAATTCATTAAACGAAAATATTAATTTACACTAGATTATTGTAAGTATCTTACGCTCATGTATGATTTCTGTTATAATATCTTTGGAACTATCTAAGTATGTTCTTGAAGTAAAACCAAAAACGTAAGCATAAATCACTTGAACTTCACGCAAATTTCTATTTCAGCAGTCATTTTACACAGGTATATTGTTAACATCGTCTCTTGGTTTGTTTCTTTTTGGCGTCTGTCGTCCACCAGCTGTAGTTACTTCTGTCGTAGTCGCTTCTGTCGTCGTTTCTTCTGTCGTTGTTGCTTCGGTCGTTGTCGCTTCAGTCGTTGTCGCTTCAGTCGTTGTCGCTTCTGTCGTTGACGCTTCTGTCGTTGACGCTTCTGTCGTTGGCGCTTCTGTCGTTGACGCTTCTGTCGTTGTCGCTTCTGTCGTTGACGCTTCTGTCGTTGCAGCTTCTGTTGATGGCGCTTCTGTCGTAGTATCTTCCACTGTCGTTACCTCTTCAGTAGTAGTAGCCTCTGGTGTGGTTATTTTTTCTGGAGTAGTTGATGCTTCTGTTCTAATGGTCGTTATAGCCTCTGTGGTTGTTGAAGGCAGTGTGCCCTTCAATGTCATTTTCTTCGGTGGTGGCTGTGGAGTTTTCTTTTCTAGGATAACCTTAACAATACTCAAAGGCATCCAGTGCCCAGGCATATCTGCTTCCACTGGATTCTCAATGAACACTAGAGGATCCTGTTCTGAGTTACGAGCACGCTTGGCTAATACACCGAATGACAGCAGAATCAATCTGATTGTTGTTGTAATTGTAAGTTGACGATGTAACGCTAAAAAGAGAAGAATAATGTTTAATTAACCGTTAAGATTGAACGGTAAGAAAGTAATTATTACTTTTTGTTTATTTACCTACTTACTCATATGTGACAACATTTTTTATAATAAAACTATTATAGGTTGTAGGTTTAGAGCAAGACTGTTTTCGCGCTCTGAAATCGATACAGTTCTTAAGTAGAAAATATAAATTGTTTTGAAATAGGAGTACGGCACTTTACGATCAAAAAGTTATTGCATTTGTAGAGTCGTCATCATGTTATCGTTTTCTGAATTTAATTTATGGTATACATTACATGAAAAGTTGTAAATATGTTGGAGTAGGAAATAGTCATTCTGAAAAAATATTTCGCGACCTTATTTCAATATCATAATTTCAGTCTATAGCCCTATAGCTGTTCCTATGTGAACGGTGAAGTGCTACACATAACGAACTTCAGCTTTTCTTCCAGCCACTAAGGTCATCGGTCCAACGATAAGGAGGAAGCCTTCACTACAGTTGCGGTCTTCATTCGAGAATTACTGTTCTGGTAAAATAGAGTGTAAATAAATAAATAGTGCTGATTTTATGAGCCTATTTTAAAACCTCAACTGAAAAATATGTATGTTGTCCCTCTTAGAAATTGAATTCGGAGCTTCCAATTCATGAGAGTTTCTCTCTTATATGTACAGTGTGAGTCACGTTAAAGTGTACATATGAAAATAGATGAAACTAGACGTATTTTTATCGACAAAAAAGAGGTCAAAAAATTTTTGAGATTTTTTTAAAATGTTTTATAGAAATTTTTTTCTTCCAATTACGTATTGTAAAGAAAACGTAATAACTTTTAAACTAAGAGGTATATCCTGATAAAATAAAAACAGTAATAATGCTAAATAGCAGGCGATACTAAAAAAATACATAAAATACACAAAAAAAAGCCAACAAATAATAAAAAATTATACTTTTTGAAAAAATCTGCTTAAAAATTAGTGATTTTTTGGTTATTTGATAAATTTCTTCAAAAAATGCCCGTATAACAGGTGGTTTTTATTGTTTTGTATTATTCTCTATCGTATTACCTTTGTAAAACCAAAAATTGCATGTCTCTATCCCTATCACAACATTTGCTATGATAGTTTGAACAAAGGCCTACCACAACATTATTCTCCTCTACAGGTAGGGACAATTTTAATATTAACTAAAATGCTTATTTTACTTCGAAATCTTTTATTTTTACTTGAAATCTAACTTGTCTTTATCAAAATTACAAATCTAGATCCATTTTCAGTTTCGTTGTTAGCGTAGCGTTGAATGGCACGCCCGGAGAGGCTTAGTTCAAACGATCATAGCAAATGTTGTGATAGGGATAGAGTCATGCGATTTTTGGTTTTACAAAGGTAATACGATAGATAATAATTCAAAGTAATAAAAACCACCAGTCAGNATTTAACAAAATTACAATCTAAACATGTATTGTCAAAAGTTATTGAAAACAATGAAAAAATACTTTTCAAAATAAAACACACGTGTTTGTTGTCACGGCCAAAATCACATGGCCGATATTAATTGATTTTAGTTGTGTATCGCTGAGTGTTGCAATTACAGACATTCAATAAATACTTTACGAAATATGAGGGTGGTACAATTTACCCGGCGGTACAATATACCGAACTCTCCCCTAAGTATGCCCTTTTTCTAGGTCCGACCCTATCTTTGTACGAAAATAAATAAATAAAATTGGTCCAGTGGTTTAGGCGTGAAGACACAGTCAGACAGGGTTGCTCTTACATAACTCGCAAGATAATAATATATCCTACTACATATTCATGTAAAATATAGAGAAACACGGGTCTCAGCACGACATTTTTTATATGTAACTCATGCCGTGAGTATGTACATTATGTAACTCATATAAAAAATGTCGCATTGAGACTCGTGTTTTTCTCTATTTCAGTTGAAATGGAACGCGAAAGTTTAAAATCTTATACATATTCATCGTCATCATAATTTCAGGCATAGACATTTAGTTCAGTTAAGGTCATAGCAGACTTATCAACTCGGAAAGGGCTAAACATCTTATCGCCTTTCGCGAGCTGTCATCTCCTATCGCGCGCTGTCAATCGCGAGGCGAGACGTTTACGTTATGGTGCGGTTAAGTGTGCGTTGCAGTATGGAGTTTCATACAAAGAATACTGACCGCCTCGAGTTGATACGGTTACGATCCCTTTCCAGGTTGATAAATGTGCGACGTCCTTTATACTGTACACTGTATAGTTTATAAAGGATCAGTTTATGAGGGAAAAAAGTACATTGTGTATAGTCCCTCGTCTGCGCAGACCTTACTAAGTAAATATTCATTCACTCGTGTTTTAAAGACTCCCAAGGCCGTGTAATTAAATGTTAAGAACAAGACAAAACATTTAAACTCTCCGTACATTTATCTTCCAATATCTTACTACAAAACTAATTGAAATTAGTTAGGGTACCTACCTACTTAACTTACGAAAACACAGGTGTCAATTTTATTAGTCTAATTTGGCAATTATACCTAAACAGCTCTAAACAGGGCGATAATTTTGTTCTGAATTATGTTGGTACTCGTAAGTAGGCTTCTAAATAAATATACTGGTTCTATATTGGCTCACATAAAATTCTAAATCCTATTCTTTGTTTTACTACCGATTTGTGTTCATAATAATCTCTCTTCATAATTTTATTTTTCATACTTTTTTTATTCATACATTTTTATTACTACCAACGGAGCTCATAACAGTTAGTAATCACAATTTTTTTATCAATACTGTTACTGCTAAGAACCATTTAAAATACATAATTTTTTTTTCAGATCTTTTTTCTTCATAACATTCATTGATCATATTGTTTTAATTAATAATGTTGTTACTAAGAACATACTTCAACTCATAATGTTGTTGTTCAGAATAATTTACTTTAGACATACTCGTATCTTTAAAAAAATCATATATAATTTAATTAAGTAAATAAGCATGCAGAGCATGCAGCATGAAAGCAAGCATGCAGCATGCATTGGTATCTCCTCGTCTCCGGCGCTGCGGGATGTACAGCGGGCGAGAGATGCCTCCGCGCCTCCGGCTTTTAAATTACTACTCTAGGGGTAGGGCAGACAAGACTACGTGGAGTCGGTTTTGCAGCGATTCGTTTCTGTCACGTTAGTTTTGTGGCACAAAATATTGCCTATTTTGGACCATTTCAAATTAATTTAATGTTAAAATACCATTTAATACGAATATAGACATCATGATTTTCAATAATATGGATAAATACGGATTACTGTTTGGCCAAAAAACGTTTCCCAAATTATCACATCGCAAACAACGTTTCGCAAATTTTCATTTGGCAAATTCTCTTTTGGCAAAACAACTTATTGCAAACTTTTAATTCGCAAATGTCGTTTTTGGTATATTATTGTTTAGCAAATTATTGTTTGGCAAAGTATGTTTTGCCAAATGTTTCATTTGGCAAAAATATTTCACGATAAACTATTTACAAAATAATTTGATTGTCGCATAGAATGGACTACCTACAAAATTAGCTTGTGGTTATTATTTTGTTTAGTGGGTAGATAATATAAAATTTGTTCTAAATTAATTTTCATATTTCATTCTTTTTATCGAAATTTCCAAATGATTCATTAAACAATAGAGGTGATTCTAGCGCTCGGCGGCCGCTGCCGCGGCACGCTTCGCTCGCCTTCGCGCGTTAAGGGTCACTGTTCTAACCTAACCTAACCTACTATTTTCTGCGATACCTACTTTCTGCAATCTCTTTGTTTTACATAAAATTCTTGTGAAAACCATGATTATCTGCCTTATGCTTTGATTTGTGGATAACGGTGAGTAAGTATGTGAAGTGTCAATTTGACCAAACAAATTATTTGGGATATAATATTTGGCAAAATAAAACATTTGCTATATAAACATTTGCCAAGTAAAATTTTGCCAAATGATAATTTGACCAAATGAATTAGTTGCGAAAAGTACAGTTGCTAAAAGTTCATTCGGGAAATGAAACTTTGGCGATAAGTTATTTGCGAAGTGAAATTTGGCGAAAAGTAATTTGAACAAACGGAAGGATTTTTTTTTTTTATGTGATAGGAGGCAAACGAGCAGACGGATCACCTGATGGTGACACTTATCCCAACTAGTCCCAACTATAATATTATAAATGCGAAAGTAACTCNTAGCTATACGGTTTACCCTACTTGAAAGAAAAAAAAATCTATTAAAAATTAAAAAAAAATCTTAAAAAATTTTTGACCACTTTTTTGTCGATAAAAATAGGTCTAGTTTCATCTATTTTCATATGTACACTTTAACGTGACTCACACTGTATAAGAAGGGTTCTGTAATAAAAACGATCGGCGCATAATGCCGATTGTTGGATAGGTAATTGGATTGTGTTCTTATTATGAGTATCTTTATAATACTCGTATTGACTATTGTTGAGTCATAGTTATTTAATTTTTAGCGTTAAGAGTCGCATCTCAAGAGCAGAAGAGAAAAGAGCTCAAGAGAAGAGCAGTCGCCCGGCAAGCGGAAGGTCGTGGGTTCAATTCCCGCCTTAGGCAGTTCGATTTTTTCAAGTTATTTATAATTTTCATATTGTTGAGTCAGACAGAATTTACATTTCTACTGATAATAGGTAGGATAATACAAAACAAAATATTGTTATTTCTTCTTCTAATCCTAAATAATCTATTGAGTGACATTGAGTCTAACCTTAGCGATAACAGCTTAAAATAGTATGTATTGTTATTTTAAGTAGGTACCTGTTGATATTTTTTATGTAAACAATGACTTTCGATACGTCTGTTTCGGATGCAGTTTGTAAAATTACTAGCGACCCGCCCCTGCAGCAGGGAACAGGTGCAAATACTTATAAACTTACTCTTCAATCACTCTATCTATAAAAAAAACCGCATCAAAATCCGTTGCGTAGTTTTAAAGATCTAAGCATACATAGGGACATACAGAC